TGATTCAATACTTTTGAGTATTGAATCCACCGATTCTTTCCCGAAATAAAATTTGACAAAGGTTATCTTAATGAATAACTTTTATTGATTTTCTCGTTGCTCTATACGAGCGGTTTGGGCTACAACTTTGTATTAGAGTTAGGCGGGTACACCGTATTGGCACTATGTGCCAGAGTGGGTTAGTTTAGGTACACCGTATGATGGTATTGGCACTATGTGCCAGAGCGGACAAAATTAAAAAAAAAAGCTAATTTAGGTACACCGTATGAAGGGTATCCTGTGCTAGTTAACCCCATCGAAAGATGGTGTGCTGTGCCAGAGCGGACAACTTTGCCCTGTGCCAGTACGACAAGTTTGTGCCAGTACGAAAAGTTTGTGCCAGACCCGGACTTTTGATAACTACTAATGTCTTTTTTCCATTTCTTTCCTAAATCTTTTCTCATCTCTCATCATTTATCATATGTTACTGATGATAAATACCATTAACTATTTTAGCTTTTCCAATAATCGAAATCAATAAATTGTTAAACCCTGAAAAGTTGGAGGTAATAAAATGAATGAAAATGAAATCTGGTGAAAGATGATGATGAAAAGGTTTTGGGATAAAGGAGAGAGAGAGAGAGAAGAAAAAAATGAAGAAAACAAAATGATATCAACTCATCATTCTTCATCCTTTTGCTTGGTTGACTCTGTCTATTGAAAGCCTCAGGGAATAAATAGCATTTTTCATCTTCATTTTCATCTTCATCATCGTCTTCTCCATGATAACTTATGTGCTTTCAGGGGATAACATATTAAGATGAACTTTTAGTTTTTTTCTTGCCTTTTTTTGCTCTCTTCAGCTATGGAACGAAGGAGAAGAAGAAGAAGACAAAAAAACGTTTCATGATTGAACACTCAATCATGTAAGCCCTGAGCTTTTCAAGGGGAGAAAATAGTTCTGACAAGAAGATTCTTGAAAAAAAGGTAAAGTGCAAGTTTAAATTGAAATCTGTAATTGCAGTTTACATTGTATTCATTCAACTTGAAAGTCTCATTGTCTGACCTTTTCATTTAGTCAAAAATAAAAGATCAAACTTCAACTTCTGAATGCTGTCATGAATATGAACTCAACACTTGTGCAGAAATGATTCAAATCAAAAACAAAAATCTTGAACTAATTGACGCAACAATCAAACAAAAACATCGAAAGAAATGTTGATAAGAAAAGAGATGAAAATTTAATGGAAAACTAAACCTAAGGGAATGAAGAGCGAAATTCAAAGCCGATATTAAAGCGTTCTTCGTTCATCATATTTCGATATTTACTAAAATAAAAGACGAAACTTCTACTTCGTTGCTGAACGTTGTCGTGAATATGATACGAAACAATCTTTAAAGAAGTTGTTGGAATCCAATCAAAACAAAAATCTTGAGCTAATTGACAAAATAATGGATCAAAAACATTGGAAGAAATGTTAATGAGAAAAGCAATCTTTGAAGAAATGTTGAGGCTAACAGTTGTAAGAGAATGTTGAGAAAAATTTAAAGCTGGAATTTGAGGTGAAACTGAAGGATAAATTGAAGAATGAAATGATTACTTGGAATGATCAATTTGTGTAAAAATAATTCAAAGGTTGAAGTTGATGGAAAATGAAAATTGAACGAAAAAAATGAACAGTTTTTGCTTCTGTTTTTGTTTGTTGAACGGAAAAACCAACAGAAATGATAGTCAACAATCAGTTTACTTTTTGTTCTGTTCAACTGTTTAGCTGATTGTTGTTGATTGAAATTGATTTAATTTGGATTTTTACCCGGAACTCGAAACCATTAGAAACCATAGAAAGCTTTAACGTTTCAGCAAAAATTTTGCGTGATTTGATTGTTTAATAATGTTCTGTTTGCTGAAGCAAACTTGACTCAACATGAACATCAATTGTTATCATCCGTTATCGTTCGTTATCATGATTATCGTCCTTTTCCTTCTCTGTCAGTTTACCTTTGCTATTGAAAAGAAAGAAATGATGATATTTGGAAGAAGAAAAAAAACACAAGTTTTCTTCTTATTTTTCGTTTTTTCTTCTCCTGATGAAAGTGGATACAAAAATCTGATTGAGGAAATTGATTTGGAAGAAAAAAAGTGGAAAAAATCTGACAGTAAAAAAGGTTCTTCTCATGATAAAAGGACATTGGCTATTTGACAATTTCCATGACAATGATAACTTTTGGTGATTCTGTTTGAACACAGAATTTCATTTCTTTTTCTCATTCACTCGAATCACTTTAGCTTCTGTTGATGATAAACAGTCGATTGGTTTGTTCAATGAAAACTCATTCAACAAAGTAATAATGGATTGAGATGATTATTTATTCACAACAAATGAAATGATTTTTCAATTTCAAATCGTTTCAAGTGATTGAAACTCTTTTCCTTTTGTTTATCAACATTTACTTTTTTCCTGTTTTCTCCCAAATAAAGATTGATATTATTCCTACTCAGCAATTGCACATGAAATTTGAGTCAATTTAAAGTGTAAGCAGAGAAAGAAAAGAATCACTTCTTGCTTTCCCTGAAAGTGAAATTGATAATATTGAATGTGATGAAAAAAGTAAAGCAAAAAATCTCAAGAAAAGTTGTTGAAACAAATGGCTTTCATTCATCATAAAATATGATATTTTTCGTTGAGATTGGAAAAGTTTCGTTGAACAGTTAATAAGTTTATTAAGACAACAAAATTGATTCATTATTCAAGCTAAAAAGTAAATTGTTAACTCTTGATATTTGCATGGTAATCAGAGGGAAGAGAAAAGTTTCTATTTTCTCATGAGATTCATTGGTTTGTTGCAAGTTTCATAATTGATTGAGCAAAGGAAAAAACTCTTCACAGAAAATATTTTAAAAAGTTTTCTACAGAAAAATGAGCAAATCGAGTTTCTCTATGAGCAGAAAAATATCGACTTAGATCATCAAATCGATATTATTCGTTATAACTATACAAATCGAAAACCTAGCCCGTTGGATAGGTGAAAGATTTTATCTAGAAGCGATTTAGCAAGCAAACGTTATGCAGACATGCTTATCCTTTGGCCGGCATGAGTTATTAAAACGTAAAAGTGCTCATAAGTTTGAAAAATTTGCTATTTAGAAAAAGACCTTCATATGTCATTTAGAGGTCAAATAACAGAAATAGCCTTCAATAACCTTGAGAGCTTATAGTGCCACGATCTGCAAAAAGCTCATGATTGAAATCTGAGATTTGTAGTACCAAGTGTTCGCAAGTGAAAAAAACACAAAAATGCAGAAAAAAACTTAAAAAATTTGCACCGATTTTTTTTAATTCACGCCTTCATGCAAGCATATATAGATAAAAAGCAAGCAAAATGGTTGCTAAAATGATCGTAAGTTCATAAGACAAGGTTATCTCAATGGCCATTAGGAATTCTTTCTACAGTAGATTCGATTAAGAAAGCTCCTCTTTGTTCATCAAGGTTTACCCAATAAACATAGACATCTTCGTTGTCCGTCCATTGTTTTATCTCTGCGGCTTTCATATCGAAATGTTCTCTGCCCGCATCTCTGATGTTGATTTGATGGACTGCGAGGTACGGTTGCAAGAAATCTCGCAAGCTCTCGAGCAAGCTTCAAGCGTACCTAAATTTAGATGGATTGCATGAAGACCATCGGCAATAAAACCATATTCACGATCCAAAATTTGATATGATGAAGATAAAACAAATATTTAAATCACAAAAATTTATTATAACAAAGTAAATAATCCTCAATTAATTTTCAATCAAATGACCTTTGGTATCATCACCAA